ATTTAAACAAATAATTTTAGTTACTATTTTCCATTAGAAACTAATGAAAAATTTTCATTTAAAGTATTGAATTAAAAAAAAAATTTTAAAAAAATAAAAAAAAATTTTGAACGGGGAGGGCAGCCCGTTAGCCTTCCCCGTCCCGAACCAAAATTTCCCGCCCTAAATACCCGATTAAGTGGGTTATCCCCACCTTGAATGGGGTGGGGCCCCGGGGTATCGGGTTTGTCGGGTTCTTTTGTCATCCCTACTTATGGTACCTCAGTAGTCCCGAGTCACCCTTGGGTGTCAATAGACTCTTGCGCACGACTAGAGTTTCACGGTCATCTCCATATAGCACCTCCCTCTTCATTATCGTCATATACAGGTTTTCCAACCTCCTCATTTTCGTCTACATCTTTCTTAATCAAGAGATTTTTACCTTTCTAACTAGATGGTTTCCTAAAATCAGTTGCTCTATGTCCTTGTTCACCGCATCTGAAACACCTAATACCTGAGCTAGAATTATACCGCGGTGGCGGTTGAGCAGGACGGGATGCTTGAGGGCGAATTGGCTGACTACCTTCGCTTTTGATCACTAGTCTCCTGTTCTACTGCTTTTCCATAGCAAGTGCACGTTGGTATGCTTCAAAAACGGTCCACAGCGAGTGAAGACTGATGACATCCTGCAGGGGCTGTTGTAATCCCCCCAAATACCGTGCCACCATATGCTCTCCCATCTCAGATAAATCATTTCGGGCTATCAATTGATAGAACTCCTTTGTATAATCATCAACCGATCTCGTGCGTCTAAGTGAATGAAGCCGTTGAAATAAGGTTTGGGTATAGCCGAAAGGAAGTGACTTTCATCTTCTCCCAATCGGTGATTTTGGCATTGCCTTGCCTATCTCGTGAACGCCTCAACGGTTCCCATTATGCAGATGCTCTGCCCTTGAGTTTGATAGCGACCAGTCTTATTTTGACACAATTCAACTTCAGTCAACCAATCGACAAATCATTCGACATGTAACGTACCAGAAAACTTAGGTAGATCCACTCTGAAACCGAAGTCTACATGACGATCTTCCCGACCATGGTGTTCCCAGACTCGAGCATGATTGTGGTACGGGTTTTCGAAACTGATATCGGAATCGTGACCTTCCTGTTCACGATCACCGAAATCCTGTGCCGCTAGCGTTGAGTTGTGTTGAACAGAGACATTTAGGAGTATCATCACATCTTGAACGTAACGATCACGGTGTAGGACTTCCTCATTCGGAACCTGCTCGCGACGACCACGACCACGACCACCAACCATGGTAGGACTAACGAAATCTCATCCCAGGAAGATGTTGATGCACTGGTACCAAATGACGTCAAACAGAATATTGATTATTTTGCATGCTGGTTTCAGCAAATAATTCACATGGAAGAACACGAGAAAAAGCCAAAAAAAAAGAGAATTCTCTATTATTTCATTCACCATTTGAAAATAGCCCACAAGTCGGGCTATATAGCTAAAAAATCGTAATTATTGGAATTTGACCAAAAATAGCAAAATTTCAATAATCATACCAATAGAAAGTAAGTAATAAAAGAATTAATATTCCAAAAATCTGGTTCAAATTGAGTTCATAATCTCTTTTAAAAAGCAAACAAAATATATTATCGAAAAAGGAAGAAAATAACTAAAATTGGGGATTCAGTAGGGAAAACAACGGATTTTGCCCTCGAAATCTATGGGTACCGAGCGAAGTTAGGTGACCACGACTTGTGCGTCGAAAAGCACTTTTCGAATTGGGGTCGTAAGCGCGATTCTGATAACCGTAGCCAAAGTTATAGCTAAAATACCAAATCGTGTCCAAAAACTGTCCCAATTAGGAAAATATTTCGATTACTTGCCATTTTTGCGCTGATGTGCCAACTCATGGTAACTCAGCGCCATCAATCGGACAACTAGGCATTATTTGATTCAGATCCTTCTGCATCACTTTTACTGATCTTGTGTTTGGTGTGGTACATTCCTGTGTCCATTTGGTAATTTATCCATCCCCATTTCAATATTATGCTACTATACAGCCCCCATGCTGCAGTAACTGTACCCAAGGAGGTGGGGAGGTTAGCTTGTCCCTTTGTAAATTACTGTAATAACACTGTTATCTTTTTAATCATCTACGATATGTTTAAATAGGCTGTGTTGGGCTTCATAATCTTTGCTCGGTGATATACCTTATTTTCCAATTTTCAGAAATGGCTGTAATTGAGCTTTACAGAAATAATTCTACTGTAACATGAGTTCTATTTAAACACACTATCAATTGCAGGCCCAGTTTTCGCAAATGCGTCCAGTTCCAATGCCGCCTTCAATTGCTCCTCGTATGCCAATGTATCCTCCTGGTGCTCCGGGCATGGGACAGCAACTGTTTTATGGGCAAGCTCCTCCTGCTATGATCCCTCAGGTTTTTTACGAGATAATGTTCTTTATTTCTTTGGCTTGGATACCTGAATGCTTCCCCCACCTAAAACGACAAAAAAAGAGAATCCTAATTGTTTGTGCTGCTTGTTTAGTACTAGGAGTAACAGTCCAAATAAAACTGGGGTTATATACTAACTTCAGATGTAGGGATTACAATTGGGGGTTTGGGTGCCGCTACTCTAAAGAAAAATATATTTTATTGGTGGATATAGTTTTGGTAACATCATGTATTCTTTCACTACCTACCTAGTTTCTGGAGTTTTTGTTCCAATGTTTTAAAACCCGGACCAGCCTGGCCGGATCAACTGGGAACCAGGACCAAAATTGGGCCGGTTAGACTTATAAAACCTTTAATTAAAAACCTGCCCCCAAAACCCATTAAACTGGCCGGTTTTTTGAAAACCCTCGACCCATTCCTTGTTTAACCGGTTCAACATATGTAAGTATATATTTTTAAATTTTTTTAAATGTATGTTTTTTGAATTTTTGTAAATGTGTATTATTTAATTTTATAAAAATCACCGGTTCAATCTCAAGTTGAGTCCCAGTTCAACCATTTGACACTCGAACCTTCCTCTTTTCCGGATCGATGACCTGGTCGGTTTTTAAAATATTGTTTTGTTCAATGGATTAGATCAATTCTTGCCACCAGAACATTGGGAGGGCCTATGTTTCCACTGGCTGTGTTCTTGGCTTTGTTTGAGCATTGTTCTGACGGCCTTCATTTCTTTCACCATGTGCGAAGATGGGTCCACAGTCAGGCATTTATATTTCAAAATTTATTTTTTAGTATTGAATACTCTGTATTTGCAGTTCAAAGTGTTGTGCTAAGAATTCTCTTCTAATAATATTAAATACTCTGCTAAGATGTATCTTACTTTTTGTGTCTGGTCTTGAATTATGGTAATAATGGTTGTGTTTGTTATGAAAGTTCTTTTTCTTCTTTTTTTTTTTTTGGGAAGAGTATTCAAGTTTTTCAACAAGTGCCACATAATTATTATGATATACTTCAGATGGCTGTGTGAAGTATAATAGGAAGCAGTTTTGACCTGTTCTGAATTTTTAGTATGATTGCATGTTTGTGGAGGCAGCAGCACACGCTGGATGACATGGATCTACTCTTTATATGAACTATTGGCTTTTCTTGTTGGCAATCACATTTACGGTTTTCTTGTTGGCAATCACATTTACATCTTCTGAATTCTTGTTAGGCTGGATTTGGTTATCAACAGCAGCTTGTTCCTGGAATGCGTCCTGGTGGAGCGCCCATGCCCAACTTCTTTGTGCCATTAGTCCAACAGGGTCAGCAAGGTCAAAGGCCTGGTGGCAGACGAGGTGCTGGTCCTGTGCAACAGACACAGCAACCTGTGACACTGATGCAGCAGCAGGTCAGTTCTCTTTGATTTTAATATTTTTTTTGTAGCCTTGTGCCAGTTTTTTGTGGTTTAGTATTCTTAATGTTTTTCCTTCAGATGGTTCCAAGGGGACGAATGTATCGATATCCTCCTGGTCGTAATATGCAAGATGTACCAATGTCTGGTACTGCTGGAAGCATGCTTTCTGTTCCCTATGACATGGGTGGCATGCTTCCCCGTGATGTGGTCGTTCCACAGCCTATGCCTATTACTGCTCTGGCTTCTGCCCTTGCAAATGCATCGACTGAACAACAGAGGACGGTATGCTGAGGCATTTTTATATTCTAGGTTTGCAGTTCATTGTTGCTTAAAACGCATTGATCTATAGCATATTTTCATTTGATGACAGATGTTGGGCGAGAACTTGTACCCTCTTGTTGATCAGCTGGAGCATGAGCATGCGGCCAAAGTTACAGGCATGCTTTTGGAAATGGACCAGACTGAGGTTCTGCATTTGCTCGAATCACCTGATGCATTGAAGGCAAAGGTAGCTGAGGCTATGGATGTCTTGAGGAATGTGGCTAACAGCCCAAGCGACCAACTTGCCTCACTTTCCCTCAATGACAATCTTGTTTCTTGAGTATGGTTGTTTAAAATGGTTGCAGATGCAGTCTGCTAGTCTGAATCAACATTTTTGAGGGTAATGGAATCATGGGATGAATTTGGTTTGGATAACATTCTGAATTTTGAATTTGTGAGATTATCTATGTTGTGGTTTTCACTTTCAGACTTGGAAGATTTGTTGGTGTTACTTTTGTTTTTTGCAGGCTTTTTTAAAGTTATATAGAATTGTTGATTTGGCATTCTTTATTTTGAAGATGATAGCTAGATGGTTTTTATGCTCAAAAAAGAAAATTGAATTTCTGACCTTTGTTGAAAAGTGCGAGCGAGAGAGACCTGCCATGCAAATTTTAAAATTTGCATGATTCGTTTAATGTAAATTTTTCTTTATTCTTTAGAAGGCCTTGGTGAGCGCAGTGAAACACCAGCCACCACAAAATAAAAATCACCCCAAAAATTCCAACTAGCTTTTAGAGAGAGAAGGGAGAAGGGAGGGTATGGAGAGAGAAGGATGACGAAAAATTAGGGTTTGGAAGTTAAATTTGGGGTGGGGGTTATCTAGCTTAATTTAATTTTTTAATATTATTATATTATTAATATTAAAAAAATTAAATTATCACCTGGTTTTGCAGAAAAAGACTTAAATCTGATTATCGCGTGTGGATGTAATGTTCATATCTATTAATTAAACTTGATCCAGGAATTAATTAATCCAATTAATTAACTTAAGTCTATTAATAAATAATCCAAATAATTAATTCTAAATATATTTAATACTTGTCAATTAATTAATTTATAATATCATTCTTCTAATTCTTCCCGTCGTGTGATTCATTAAGTTCTCGATGACGATATTAGATGACATGAATTGTTATTTTAATCTAATCAAATAAGATATATTAAAATGGCTTCATTTTAATTTATCGTTAATTCACATAAATTAATTATTTCATATTTGTCGTTCCCGATTGACATCCGCAGTGTCATGGTAATACATTTGACGAAGATAATCATGTGGTGTAATAAAATCAAATTTATTCGTTTACTATGAAATTATAATCCTTCCGTAAGTATGATTCGATCAATTGCAATATATAGAAGTGTGTCAATCGATTGTCGATCATATCTTTCGTCCCATTCTTAAGTTAATAATTGTCAAATCTTTTTTCGACTTGCGTACTTACCAAAACCAAAGATTTCCTATCACCTTAACCGAATGAAATGTAGATAATACTCTTACTATCTAAAAGTAACTAATCCTCTATTGATTTCAAACTTATTATGATTCTTAACATGATCGAATGATGTCGTATTAACAATTCTTGATAGAGCAACATTCAATATCCCCAAATTGTGATCTCCTCACATAAGACACTATGATGACCTCAAATCAATTGACCGATTTCACTACTGAATGTTAGAGATTAAATGTAATTTTCATCTCATAATCACAATTCTTTATGATTAACAAATTATCAAAACTTAAATATACCGACTCTATTAATTTAATTTATCAAAATAATAATGTATCAATCATATAATTATATTAAAAATGTTACGTCCAAAATCCATTGGAAACAACACTTAGACACGCAATTGCAATACTTCACTTACTGCTGCATACTTCTTTTAATTTTCACTTTTTACTTCTTTCTCATCACAGTTTGTAGCTTTCACTCTATCACTGACGCGGTCCTTTTCCTGGGTAGATTCTCCTTCATATTTGTGACATATAATGCCAAATCGTAAATAGTGTAGGTAGTTTTTTTTCTACTAGCATAGCCTAACAAGTTTACCATAGTTGTATTTTTGTGATTTTTCCAATAGGAAGATAAAAATATGATGGTGCGAAAATCTAACCAATAGAAATGACAGCATTGGAATATTAAAATATGTCAATGAGCAAAGCAGGTATTGTTTCTCAAAAATAAAATAAAATGTCATCAACCTTTTCTTTTAAACACTCTGGACCTCAACGCCTCATTAATTAGAGTCATTAATCTGTAAATAATAATTTCAATACAACTGAAAATTAAATAAAAGAAATAAAAACTATTGAAAAAATCCGCGCAGGAGTTTTATTAATTAAACACACCACAAGTCATCAGCGGAGTGTTGTTGCTGACTTGCTGCCGTTTACTTGTGACTGAGATTGAGGCAAAGATGGATTTTTTTTGAGTGAAACTACTAGCATGGAAGAATGGCAAATTTTAAAACGGTTAGGACAATATTTCTTTAAGGGTCAAACGTTGGGGACGGAAAGTGTATTTTACCCAATTTTACTTAGATTAATAAAAAAAAGGAAACAATAATAAAATCGTCGTACCAATGGAAAGCATCAATCATATGACTTTGAAGCATTACTCTTATAAATGAGTATTTTGATATCAACTATAAATAACACTTTATTATAACTCTATTAAACCATCAAAATGGGGTCTAGAAAACAATTTATATAGTGAAAATGAGATGCTACCATTGACTTCAATTTAATATGCCTGTCGTAATTACGATGATGGAATATTAGTATGAAAATATGATTGTTCTAATAGTAGGCACTAAAAACATGTTGTTTGATTCTACTTTATTTTTTTATTTTGTGCACGTGGTGACATTGACGATGCAATTAGGTGAATTATTTTCCTAACGTTGATGTATTATAATTTTCAATGGCACGTGGGTGAGCCCCTTCAATGTACAAGTGTAACAATATTTAAATAATTAATACTTTTATATTAAAAAATGAAGACTTTATGCAATTCATAATAGCTGTAAATATATAGTTACAAAGGAGTAATTATACAAACACCAAACGAAGAAAGTAGATCTCATTGTAATACATGCTATTCTTCTGACAAAATGCAATTACTACTAAGCCAGAATTTCAATTAATCACATTTCTTTTCACTGTTTATAACTCCAATAATAAATGTAGAACAATTGAGATTCAGCAAATTGATCACTGTCTCAAAAACTATCATCCTATGTCTATGTAGACACAAAACATCCATACATTTGGTCTCTAGTGTACAAAACGTCCATATATTTCAAAATTTTGCATTTTCATCCTTATTTCCACGTTTTTATTGTGGAAAACATCATTTTCATCTAATTTCTCAATAAAAATGTAAAATAACAAATATATCCTCCTATTTAAATANTATTAAAAATAAAAAAAATTATGTCTCTCTCTCCTTCACAACCACCATCACCACCTTTTGCTACCTCAGTCTTTTATCAAATTGGAGAATGATCCAAATTTAGTGATATTGTTGGAATCTATGACCTTTTTTTTTTTTTTTTAATGAAGGAGGGCGGTACCTTCGAAAGTTTATTAATATGCACTCACTTGTGGTGGAGGAATACCGTGGTTACATGAAAGTAATGAAAGCTGTAAATGAGGAAGTACTTCCCTTATAATGAGAGTAAATGACGAAGAATAAAACAGTAAATAAGAAAGTACTACATCGTTTATAATAAGAACTAATGTAAAAAAGACCAAAAGTAAGTATTGAAAGTTAAAATGAAATTCAAACTCTGATATTCGGAAATCCATGTCTGTCAACTTGTACTAGTGCCCTAATATGTCGTGGAAGGTCAAGTGGTCCATATACCTGATATCTCGTTGATTCCAACCCTCAACAGCAAGAGCATCTGCAACCTGGTTTCCTTCTTTGTAAATGTGGGAGACTCTATCTTTGTTGAAGGATATGATGTCTGTTATACGTCTAAGTATACCATGAATAGCCCATGGTCCTCCTCCTGTAGTGAATAGCCACTAAAGAATCTAACTCAACCTAAATCACTGAATAACCCAGTCCTTGAGCTAGTAAAATTCCATCAATAATAGCTCGGAGCTCTGCCTCTAATATCATGCATGATCCATACGAAGTTGAGAAAACACTGACACATTGTCCTGAGTGATCTCTTATGATGTCTCCCCCACTTGCATAACCATCCTTGACGCATCCATCAATATTGATCTTCACAGAACCGATAGATGGAGTGCGCAACCAAACCAGAATAGGGAGAGATGGGGAAGGGGGATCCATAAAAATACCAAATATGGGTGCAAGTGTCAAATCCCCTCGCCAATGCACCGCTCGTAACAGTCCTCCCATATGAAGAAAGGAGATCATGTGATAGACCCCCAAAATGATACGTCTGGCTACCATTCGAATCCCCCTTTGCTTTACATCATTTCTCGCGGTCCATAGATACCAAAATATCAGTACAGGAATAATAATGCAAACGTGTCCACAACGAACATACTGTCCAGAATACCTCCATCTCAGAATAGAGACAGACTGAGGGAGAGGACTTGAGCATCCATACTGAAAAATATCCTCAAAATGCTGCCACACCTGATTGGAGATACTACTGCCAGTGAAAATATGACTAATAGTCTCAATCTCGGAACAACACTAGCAGCGAGAAGCCAACTGGCATCCAATCCTCCCTTGAATAGCCACATCAACAGGAATGAGGCCTGCAATAGTCGCCAGCAAAAATTGAGACAGTAACTGGTAAAATGGAGCTCCATAGTAATCAGTACGAATCCTGATATTGGCATCTTGAACGTACGAGCTACCATGCTGACTTGGTAACGAAGCTACCATCCGATGTATTCCGCCAAAAAATTCGATCTAGTGCATCAGTACATAAAGGTATAGCTCCTATCTCTGCTCCGCCATAAGAGGAGGGAGAACCTGTAATAAACATCTAATATCCCAACCAGTATCATCATAAAAATCCTGCACCCTCGCAGATGTGTGCTGTCTTTGTGGGAGCAGGGATGCCAATGTGGTCTCACCCATCCAACAATCTTCCAAAAGAAAATCTGACCTTCTCCAAGGTGCCAAGCAATGTGTGCCTCTGTCCAGGGACCAAATAATTTTAGCCTCTTCCAGATAGGAGAAGCTGAGTAGGGTACTGCTGCGAATAAAGGATGGGACCCCATACAATATTTACCCCGTAAGAACCTGGCCCAAAGAGATCTCTGAGAACGAGAAAACAACC